ACACACACACACACCCTCACTCACAGTCGCGCATATACACAAAGAGCAAGAGGGGGAAAACATTACCTACCATGCTGAATCAGTGGTGGGGATTTACAGTTCATGACTGAGTGCATTTGACTTTACTGTGTTTGGTGTGGGCAAACGTGCAGAGTATTTCATCACACTGCTCCATCACACTTTGGGTGCTTAACATATTACAGACACCTGCTTGGAAACGAGTGCTATCTTAAGGCATGCACATTCATCAAGTTTAACTCCCTGCAACTGATGTCTCTGATGTTTCTAGATAAGCTTGGAGGAGCTCCAAAGGACTGTTAATCAAAATGATGTGTACGCAGAGCCAATGAAGTTATTGTGTGTTACCTTCTGAACCATCTTCCCCTAACCGCTGATGTTTGTTTATCTAGTCAGAACATAGGGAGTCACTCTCTAAGAGTCAGTAAGTGAGAGCGCAGAATTTGCCCTGAAGGTGATAATTCATATTTTCTTTTTTAGAGGGAAATTCTGAGAAAAGTTGTCTGTTAAGAACAGGGATTAGGGAGAGGTTGCAGATCTGAGTATTGTTGTGAAACCTTTTTCCTATTTGTCAGAACTTTGACTGGCAATCTTTACTGACATCTATGAACATGCATCACCTAGGTTTACTGCATGACAATAAATTATTCCACAAGAGGATAACACATATTTGCGCTCTTGTTAAATTGTTTTTTGGCATACGTTCAGAACAATGCTCGGCGCAGAGATACAAGCCAGAGATTGTTGAAGTGAACTCTGTACACAGCGACCATCTTGAGTCCTGTACGAGCGCTCATACAAAAGTTTTTGAAAGAAAAAAAGTTGTATGAGTGGTAATGAAATTCAGTTTCTTGTACAGCCCCTAACAAGTTGCTCTTAAAGAACACTGGACTTGGTCACTATCAGCAAGGCTTCAGCCATTCTGAGAGAGTCACATGTTTATCACAGGGGTGCTTCTGGGTCAGTTTTTTGAGCTCAATGCTTTTCAAGCCACAGGTACAAGCACCTTTCAGAAAAAAAAAAGTTGATGTTTTTCTTGGCAGCTGAAGCCAAAAAGCAGCATGGGTCTCATGCACTCTCACTTCTCTCTTCCTCTCTCACTCTCTGCCATCTATTCCGTCTTCCTCAACTGATCCACATTGTCACCCCTTTTAACAGGGGCCAAGCTGTTAAAGACCCCATTACTGAAGTGAAGCGCACATTTCACATTTTCTCTGTGGACTCGAGAGTGTGGACTACAAATTTTATGTTGAAATGTATTGAGATAGGAGGAAAGTTCATGCGTGGAGTGGAGTGGAGTGGAGTGGAGGAGAGGAGGGAAGAGGTGGTGAGGTTGGAGAGGGAAGGCTCTGTCAGAATGGAAGGGCCAGAGTCGGGAGTCAGCGAGCGCTTCAAGCGTTAACGTAATTGCAAGAATGTGAAAAATGAGGCGGCGGGGCTCCCGAGCGAAGCGAAAGGTCAGAGCATGCCTCACACAAAACAACTGGCTAGAGGACGGCCTCATTAGACCATTAAATCAGCTGCCCTTGGTCTCTTTCCCGTTTCTCCCTCTCCCTCCTTTTTCTCGCTGTGCCTGCTTTTTCACCTTCGCCACTCTTTCACCTCTTGCACTTCAATGGCTCTTCCTTCACCTTCTTTTAAATCTCCGCTTCTGCTCTAAGCTGCTTACTTTCTTTCTACCATGAAATGTTCTGAGCTCGTGGATCTTGCATTTAGCACTTCTCATTGTAGGTCAGGCTCTGGCCCTGATCTAGTTGAGGTCTGTCTTGGCCCAGTGTATGGTGCTGTACCGTAACTGTCTTTGGCCCATATTGATCCGCTGTTACTGGATACGGTGGGGAAAGGAGTCGATAAGTGCTCTGTGGATTACAGGTCACTTGTACTTATGTGTGTAAGATAATCAATAGGCAGTGCATTTCTTTTCTCTCATCCCACCCCCTCCTCTTTTTGTTGCTCTTCATCTCGCACGCTACTTGCAGCTGCAAAGGAAGCGTGCAAAAACTCTACCCGTGCTTTGTCTTCTGATCTGCTGTTATACTGCGTTTGTGACTAAACTGATTACTTGAAAGCAAAAAAATCCACATTTAACTCACTGCAATTTCTGAGATTCTGTTTTTGTAAACTTTCATGATTCTTGTTCACTGTTAACGCCTTAGATTTAGCACACATGCCCTGTATATGCTGTCAGAGTGCTTTGTGTCATCAGTCACTGCAAAACGAGAACTATCCCTATCAGGAGCTATTAAGTGTCACATTATCATTACCCATTCCTTCTTTATGCTTCTACTATCAGACAGACGTGTTACTTAACCGAGGCTTAGCTGTCACTGTTTTCCTCTTTGTGCCTACAGCCCGCCATACAACTGGTACTGAGACAGCTAACCACAGAGGTCAGCTGTGGCCCTCAGTCTGTGGTCAGTAATGGTTGGAGAAGCTGCAAATGCTGCTTCTGTCTAAAGAGGAGATGATGATTTAAACTTCCCCACCACAAGAACGCACAGTCTATCGATACATTTGATCGCTTATTGGCAAAACGATAGCCTCAAACAGACACAACAAGCGGCTTCGGTCTGCGAGCGAGCCGGCAGAAGCGTGCATCCGGGGCGCGTTTGTGTGCGTAGACAGTGTGATGAAATTTCATGAAAAACTCTGGACGCTGCCAGAGGGCACACATGGATACAGAAAGAGACCCACAAACACACACACACACACACACACACACACACACACACACACACATATACTGCCGCAAGTGAAAAGGAGCTCATCATCTGTTCTCTTAGTAAACTAACCTTCATCTCACAACATGTTAATGTTTGGTCTAATGTCTGCACAGCAGCATGTGCTTCTGAAAATGTATATGTCAAAACTGATACAGACCGTGACAAAAATATAAGGCAGATAGCTGTGACTTAAACACACTATCTGTAATACATGTAAATACATTTGTTTTGAAATGCATTATTAGGGTTTGGCAGGTCGTGTACTAGATAACACAAGGCTCAGTGAGACATAATTAGGGGCTGTTGTGTAGGCAAAGTTAATATGGTTTAAATTTCAAGCAAGAACTGGCAGAAATATACTATTAATCACCGGCTTTTGTTCAGCGCTCCAAATAGCAACATTTTGGAAAGCCTTTTACCAGGGCGGTGTATTACAGTGGCTGCTGCTTGTATTTGTGCACGAGTGCAACAGTGGATAAGCGCGTTCATTTATAGGTGTGACTGTGTTTACATGGACGCCAGTCAAAAAACAGGATAATCCAAAGTGCAAAAGAAACGGACTGGGACATGTGTGAGGAAAGACGTGCCACCAATTCACTATAGATCTCACATTAGACAGCGTTAAAGTGGTGTGTTGGCAACTCTATCCATGCATGATGATTAATATGTCCTGCATGGATCTATGTATGTTTATGTGTCGTTGCTTGAGCGCACCCATTTGTGCGAGTGTGTGACTGCACGTGCATGCCCGTTTCTGTACTTGCTTACCTTGTTCGCTGCTGTTGTCGCCGCTCTGTGAAGCGTGTCCCCCGCTGGAGGGCCCCGGTGTGCCGGCCGAGTGTGTGGAGGTGGCGTCATCGTGGTCTCTCCAGGAAGCTGGGTTCTGAGGTTTGAAAAGGGAGAAAGCGAGCGTGGGATCCATCCATCCATCCGTGCATCCAACCACATTCCCCATCCAAACCACAAACCAGGAGCAGAGAGAGCAGGAAGGGGGAGGAGAAGAAGGTAGAAAGGGAGAAACACAGAAAGAAAGAGAGAAAGAAAGAGAGTCCATATGAGTACGCTGGAAAAACGTGAGCGTGACATCTGTAAGAGTCTACAGGCACTGTGAGGGTCCTTGGCCTGCTTATGGTCTCCTGGCGAGGCGGAGAGCCCCTTATTTCCCAGCTACCAGACAGCAGTCAAAGAAGCTACGATAATCGGAAGGAAGAAACTAAAGCACTCACGCAGCTGGCGATAAGTCAAAACACTGTAATCAAAATGTTTCATTAATGCATGACAGCAAGACACAGCACCGTTAATGTGCCGTTTGATTTTGAGCGTCGCAAGTGGAGCACTTGTGAGTAATCGTCTAAACACATATGGCAGAGCCCAGTGGAGTTCATTTATACCATAACCAATTGAGACTTCCGTGTCAAGTGAGAAATATAGAGGTAAAAAGTCCAAACACACCACAGCCACCATTAATCATTACCACTGTCAGAAATGAAAATAAGATATGACAGTGATTCTCCTGCTAATCTGCCAAAAATGTGTACACGCCCACACTGACACACACACACACACACACACACACACGCCCACAGAGGCTTGCAGAAATACACTTGTGCTCACATGCTAATGACATAATCGAGCAAGAAGCATAAACACACATGCACACACGCTCATTTTCGTATATACAAAGACATGCCGAAAAAAAGTGTTAAATCTCTGCTGGCTAACTTCAAAGAAATGCACATAAACAAGTTCATAGCTTTTAAGGCGACTTTCTTCTCTTTGGCCCTCCCTGCAGCTCATTTTTTCTCCTCCTCCTCTCTTTCCTGGTCATTCCCCCTGCCCTGTCAGTGCACACGGGGAAACAGGATTTTCTACTGTACAGGAAAGGCTTTATCAGTGCCACACGAAGGCAGGCTAGAGGTGGAATTTCCTCTGCCATTCAGGCAATACAGGGACAGAGCGGTCACGTCATTTACTACACACAGGCTCAATCAGACACACAGCCTCTCACACAGAGTTGATACAGCCTCATAGCTCACACAACCCGAGCTAGTCTTTCCCAATTTAACATGTCACCTGAGCACGATGACAAAATGTTGGCAAACTTTAGCCCAACGTTGTCTGGGGCCCGAGAGAAGCAGCCCCCTTGAGCGGAGCCCAAGCCAAACAAACACAGGCCTGCACCAAGGCTTCCCACAAACCTCAACCCACTTCTCAGTTCCCGCTATGTGTTTTTTTTTTTTTTTCTCCCTCAAACACACATAAACACATATACATACATACGAAAGCAGAGGGAAAATGTACACCCCGCAGAATATTCCAAGAAATAGACCATTTTTACCATTTTGTCCAACTTGAGGAGAGTTCCGGATGAACTTCTTTTCCCTCAGCTCCCGCCAGAGAGGAGCCTGCCTGCCTGCTTTGGTGCCCCAGTCAGAGTGAGCTGTACTCGAGGAGGACAGACAGGATAGAGCCCGGAGACTAATGGAGGTTTGCAGGGAAACAGAGGCTATAAGACAAGCCGCTGCCGAGCTCCCCTGGGCACACAGTCCTGATGTGCTGCTGCTTGTTCTGCTGCGGAGGCGAGGCTGCTGCTATGCCTGTGAGCGAGGCCCTTTTATCTGCTAAGTTTTTTGGGGAAGGCGGGCTGTTTTCTCAAACAGCTCGGAGCTGAAAACAGCAGACAGAAACACACAAGACCCTTCAGACCCTGCACTCCACTCAAGGCCCTCTCAGCGTCAGCTGTTCACCGGATGGCAATCAGATAAAGAGCTCGGAGAATTACTCAGAAGAGGGGTAAGAAGACAGGGTGAACAATAGCCCGTGCGTGGGTTTCAGCCCTCCAGAGCGAGCGGAGGGAAAAGTGTCCCTGCTCTGAGAGGGATGGATGATTGTGATGTGCTCACTCCCTGGGCTGCTGATCAACACATGGTACACTTCATGGGAACGAGGTCTGTTGTTATAGTAATTTTCTGTTGCTCTCAACACAGGCTGAGCAAAATCACTAATGTGGGAAAAGCCCATCAACCCCCTGAAAACGGTCTAATTTTGTCTTTGTCGCATGCCACGCGAGGGGGGAAGAAGAAAGCGAGGTAAAAATCCCAGACGCCCAGAGTGTATAATGTATTTAAGCAAAGCTGGGATCTGTACTCTCAGAACTGGCTGTTGTTGTTCCAAGAGAAGAAAATGACTGGGTTCTGCTTCCTCACAATGAGACACCCACTGCCGGCGAGACGCAAGACAGGCCTGAAAAACTATGCTGCTCTCACACACATTTGCTCTCTTATTCTATCTCTCTCTCCGACACTTGCCAGCTATGGCCACAGCATGGTTTTAATGCAACAGCGGAATCGATAGGACTTAATTTAGCTATCATTGCGGAGTAATGTGTCATTTTTAATGGTGCTGGTACTAAATTAAATTCAAAGACACCTCAGCTAATGGTGTTAAAGGGAATGATATTTTGCTGTGATTTGCTACCCTGTGGATTTAATGGGCCTGCATGCATGGATATAGATAAAGCTTTGTTAGTTTGGCTCTTATAGGGGAAAAAAAGACTGCAGCAACTTATATTGCCTAATAATAATAATACTATAGTGGATCCTGGAGGCAGCGGAGTAAACACACTTCTTTTAATACCTGTTAGTCAGCACTCATTCATAATCATGTCTGCAAAACAAGACAACGAATATCAAAACAACAGTGTTAACTTTCCACGCTCAACAAGGCGACAAAAGCAACAGCCTTTCCTCCCCATGAATAATTTAGTGGGCCTCTCTGAGCTATGGAGGGTGCATCATCAGACACTGCACTGCGCAACACAAACACACACACAACCATTTTGTCACAACCCCCGTGGGTCTGATAAAGTTCAAACAAGTTGTAAAAAAAATCATGTCACCCAAACAGAATTCTTCAACCTACACAAGGAGTCCTCGGAAAAAGAAAAAAGAAATAGAGGAAGAAGCAAAAGAGAGAGGAAAAAAAAAAAGAAGCCCCTGGCCCATGTGACTATTCCCTAAAGCTGAGCATAATTAGGAGTCAAACATGGTTCACTCCATGCTCTTCACTAATTGTGTTAAAGAGCAGTGTTACCAGGAGGAGGAGGAGGAGAATGCCAGCAAGCAAATACACATACATGTGCAGGCGGGAAGCGCACACACAAACGCACACAATAGGACTAGATAGAGAATAAGATACAAAAGAAGCGTGATCTCTGGGGGCAGCCTTTTCTATTTGCTGGGGTTAGCAACTGGCGGCTGATAACACAAGTTGTAATTAATATAAAAGCAGGAGACAATATGGGAAGGAAGGCTTGTAGTGCAGCCAGGCCACAGGAGAGCAGGAGAATGCCGCCATCTCCTTTGCTCCTGTCCCCTGTTTCTCATTTACAAACACCTGCCTGGCACAATCTCACTTTCCCTCCCTGCACTCTGCCTACATCCCTAGGAATTTCAAATAAAATTGATTTAGCAGCATCATTGAATTTCCCTCAAATTCCCTTGAAACCTAGAGGGAAGGGAAGAAATCTGTCAGTGTAGTAGCAGTGTAAGGTAAGGCTGAGAATGACTCGCCTTGTGTGCGAGTGTGTGTGTGTGTGTGTGTGTGTGTGTTGTACTATGACTGCGAAGAGCAGCTACAGGGATCCTGTACAGAACATGAACAGAATCGCTGACACACCAGAAACACACAGGGCCATAAATCATAAAGCGAGCTGACATTTCAAGACACATCTTGCCACATGGCATAAACAAAGAAAGAGGAAAAACTCCTTGCATGTTTTTTGTCGCGTTGAACTCGTAATTATACACAACCCCTTTAGAAAAGTGTAGGTGCACCTCTATTGAACAGCTGAGTATTTACAACACCCTCAATTATCCCCAATATAAAGAGTCCTTAATTTAGCAGCTAATATTTCACCACAGCATGTTTTAACAGACAAGCGGGACTGACTGATTGTATTTATGCCTGAAAACTTTCTCTGAGGCAGAAACAATCTTACTCACTGTATTGATGCCACATTATATGTGCAAATATGTCTTCGGAAAGAAAAGATTAAATTAAAAACTGTGTTTGCTATTGTGATTCATGGGCTTTGGCACACGTCAAAGTGACATATCCAAAAAATAAAACGCCACATAAATGACAATATAAAACTGACAGTTCAATATGGACAATTCAGCTTGTATTTATTTTTCATGACAAATAACTCTAGCTTTCAAAACACTGTTTACATTTATGTCTGCATTATCCGTACCTCTGTGTGCTGCATTTCACTACCAGTAAACATACATGTAATCTCATGATCCAAAAGGGCTGCTGAGCAACTGTTTATTGCCGTCATTTACAGCACAGTTAAAGAAACGGGAGTGTGGGAGATGCAACAAGTGAGCATGGCCTCTCTTGAGCCACAGTAGCGATGATTAGATATGCCTGCCAACAGGGCCTTGTCTCTGAGCACTAATCAAATAGGAAATGTAAGGCCAGACATCCCACCATCACAAAACAATTGTGTGGAACAGACAGAGCAGCCCAAGTCAACAATGCACTGTTTTCATGAGACCCAAACGTAGTCGGTCCCTGAGGAGAACAAAGCTAGTAGAATTAGAACACCTCCAAAACTGAGAAATTCCACGGTTCAGCAGGCCAGCTCGGCCCCGAGGGCTCGCTGTCCACAGGCAGAGGCCTCCACTATAGTGACATACAGAAATAGGACAGGACTGTACTGAGCACCTAGCTCCGCTGATACACAGCAAATCACTGCATAGACTCAAGCTGAACTGTTGCATTACTTGATTGAACCTGTGACATCACCATATCTGACCAGCGGTCCACAGCGCCTAGAGCCTGCACACGAGAATCAGATCTAAACAGAAAAGGCTTGTTTCCCTTTTTTCCCTTTCCAGCCATGCAGAGTGAAGATAAGCTGCACCATAACTATGGGAACTACTGTCACTCCCTGAGGAAAGCTCTCCAAAACAAAGCAGCGGGACCTGCAAATCCTACAGAATTTTTCTATACCGATTCTGTACAACTATGCCGAAATTCTCAGACAGTTCCAACAACATTATACATGTGCATAAAGAAAATGAAAAAGCCCTCTGCCAATATGCAAGCTTGACTGAAGAAGCAGCACAATGGCACAAGAAGACACAAAGGCTAATTCATTAGAACAGATAATACTCAGACACTGTTAATTCTATTTGTCTCCCTAATTGGATGTAGCACAGAAGAGACAGAAATTTTATTCATTAATTAAAAGACAAGAGAGCAAACCATTGACAAGTACACACACACCAGCCATTTGCAAAACTACACGGCTCTGTCTTTTCCTTATCTACCGTCATGTGTAATACAATAGCTTTGTTTTTTTCTCCTGTTTTTAAAATAGGATGGAGTTGTTCTGTGGAAGAGCAATGAGTAAGGAACCCTTGGGTGGGCTACGTGGTTGAGATAGTCACCGCAAGCGAATAAGGGAAATCAACAGTGTCAGCAAGGCCTCATCCTGCTCTCACTATAATATAATCCAATCATCTCTAAGACAATGCTGCATTCAAGTGTAAATAAAACTGTGCTTATTATGCTCGACTGTCAGGTAAGAGGAGGGGAGAGGAGGGTAAAAGAAAGAGGTAAAAAAAAAAAAAAAAGAAAGGAGATGCACACACATGAGGAAAAAAAAAAAAACAAGCTCAACGGGCTGCCTCCTTCTCAGTGAAGAGCCTCATCATCTCCAGAAAAACCAACTTTCACCAAATGAGATGTAGCCCTGGGCTATATATTAAAAATGCATATCAAAGCAAAGAAAAATGGACGTGAGAGATTCTAACTAAATAAATTAGCATATCTAACTATCAAACCGCCTTCCTCTCCTCAATGAGACGCAAGGACAGAAATGAATAATAAAATAGAGCCAAATACAAGTGAATAAATAAAATAAATAAATCAAGACAAGTAGGACACAATTTGCTCTTTCTACCCAGCAGCACAGTTTTGCAGCCGATTGCAATTTTTGTGTATTGTTTTCCATCCTCTAAGCAATTTTTTTTAGGCACATGAAGGCGGACTCTTTTCAATTAGATATGGAAATTACTGCTTAACTATATATTACAAAGCTGTAGGATCATGACTGCGCCGTGCATATTAACACCTCAACGGCTTCCCTCTCTGCAAATATTATTTCCACTCAAGCATCAGCAGGCACACACATGCTCTCACACACTTTATTTAAAAAAAAAAAAGTAGCTATAAGCATGTAATGTGTTGGCAATATTTTAAAAAATCCCTTCCGAGCTCAAAGCAGGTCGGAAAGCAAACAAGGGAGAGAGAAAAAAACCCCTCTCTCTTCTGCTTTTAGTGAAATTCAGGCCAGCAGTTAGGTATAATAAAAAGTTCATTGGTGCCACAACAGTGAAATAAATCCCTCAAAACTTAAATACCTAATGAGGTGGTCACTCCAAACGACTCCAAGATAAATGGCTTGTCATGCAACTTTCTTTGTTTATTGCTGTTCCTGATTTGCTTTATTGGCATATTTAATTTTCTAATTATCAAAATATTTCTTACAAGTGGACTGATGACAAAGCTGGTGTCTGAGCACTGGAGGCACCATTGGAAATTGGCTTGAGTGTCAACCATCTGCCATGAAACTAAACAGGCTAGTTTATCTAATCTCCACAATATAAACAACAGCATGCCTCATTTCTGCACTTGTGTTGGAGGACCACAATATTGCCGTTTTGACCGTTTCTGAGACCAACAATCGGCAATCTCTCTCTCTCTTTTTGTTGTTGTTGCTCTAATTACGCACCGGTTCACCTTGTGTTGCGCGCTGCGTGGCTCTCTGCAATAAAAAAAAAAAAAAGAAAAAAAAAGAAGGCGACGGGCTTTCAAAGGGAATCCACTGCTATTAGGCCAATAGCCAGACCCAACAGATGTAGCGCAGAGACTTTGCATAACACTTAAATCTGCTTTAATTCCTAATAGGCTTGGCCTTGTGCTGCACAGATATTAACTAGTCACTTTGTTACACTAGCCGCTCTTTCTCTCCCCCCCCCTCTCTCTCCCTCTCTCTCCCTCTCTCTCTCTCTCTCTCTCTCTCTCTCCCCCCTACCCAAAACATTAGCTTTATCTCAGGCATGCAAGACGCAGTAATTCACAGATATCAACTCAATACTACACTGTCAGCCCGATCCATAGTGCGTAGGGTGGGGAGGGAGGAGGAGGAGGAGGAGGAGGGGGGAGGAGGAGGAGGAGAGAATTCTGTGTTTATTACGCCGAAAATGCACGATTTAAACCAGAGAATCGATCTTCAAATTTAAAGCTACTGTACTTCAGGTGCATATAATTGAATTCAGCATTATGGAGCCTGCAGCCATAAAGCGGAGAGCAGCGGAGAAAAAAAAAAAAGCAACTGCAGAGCAAAACCACACGGCAATCAATACGAAACAATTAAACACATTAACATCAACAGCAATGGAAGGCCTCCAGACGAACCATCATATGCCTTGTGAACTTGACATTGATGGTAAGCCTTTAGCTCTGAGATCTCTTTCAATGCGCTACCACTTTCTCCACCTCTGCAGCAAAAAAAAAAAAAAAATCCACAGCTTTACGCACAGGCCATATCCAGCTCCCACAGCCCCAAATATAAAGCCCTTTTCTTTTTAAATATTGGCCTAAAGCTAAAGCTTACCGCTGATACCCTGCTTTAACGTTAAACCTGCGTAACAGATAATTGCCTCACGTTTTTTTTTTTTCCAAGCGCTCCATAATGCAGGGCAGCGATCTTACGCACACGCACGCGCACCCTCTGATACACACACACACACACACACACACAAACCTCCAGCAAGCACGGACGCATTATGCACACATGACTGCCCCTAATCAAAAGACTAAAACAATAACTCAGTCTATTGTATCACATGTAGCTTTTGACCTTAGAACATCGATCGGCAGATTTTCCTTGCAGAACAGAGCATGCTCTATTTACTGATGGCACAACAGGGTCACACGGTCACACACACACACACACACACACACACACACACACGCACGAACCGATCAGGAGCCAAGGAGCCCAAAAGTTAGGAGAAACATCCAACGATGGGATTGCCTTTTTTTTTCTCTTCTTCTAAAAATAGTCAATTATTTACATGCATCGTCTTTTTTATTTTCACCGGCACACGGTTTCTCAGCAGCAGGGACGCATGCAGACAAAAAGCAGTCACTAATAAACAGAATAAAGCTCCAGTTACTTACGTGATCTGCGAGGTTAGTCGACGATCCCGAGAGCTCTTCGTGATCTGATTTTGAGCTGCCATCTCGCTCGTCAATAACTAGATCTATTGGCATTTTTCCTTTCAAACAACTGATGTACCGGTGGCAAAAATTGTCGCAGAGCTCGTGCACCTATAAGGAAGAAAAAAAAAGAGAAGAAAACACCTTTTTCAGGATGGAAGGTGGTGGTTGTGGTGGTGGGGGGGCAAGAAGAAAGCCAGTCCAAGAATAACTCCAATTAAGAGGCATTATCGGCGGCGAGGAAACAATAGTGAAATTGTTGCAGAGCTTATTATTCTCCTGAGACCGGAGCAACAAGTTGAACGACAAAAAAATAAACAGCATGCCGTAAGCTGGCGAAATAATGAGCAGCTGAAACTAAATCTGCGGATCAATAACAAATGTGCAAAGAAGGCTCAGAACGTGTTTTTACCAATAGTCACTTCACCTGCATCAAATACAATTGCTGATTTTTTTTTTTTTGTAAATATGAAAATCCTTAAAAACCTTCTCTCAGTGCATCCTGGCTCAGTTTCAACAACGTCTAACAGCACTGCACGTTTAATACTATCAATTACATACATTTGTTTTGTGCAGGTGCCATGATTTGAAGAGAAGATTTATCACATGTACCTTTTCTAATTCCAAGAGGTGAAACCGTAATACTTGTATGGCTTGTATCATCTGCAAAAAAAGAGCAAAAATAAACACAATTCACATGACCAAAAAAATGACAAGATTAATGTTCTTTCCATGTGTGCAGGGTTGTAAAAAAAATAATAAATAAAAAATTAAAATTAAAATCCGCCCATCAGGAAGTGCACTACAGCCAGCAAGAGCGAAAAAAAATATTTCTTTCTTCTTCCTTTTTTTTTTTTTAACTCTTAAGGAAAGTTGCACAATCTAATAAGTAATTACACACTGGTCAGCTGGGTCAGTTAGACGGGAGGACTGCACAATGACAGCGGCAAATGTGGTCGCACAGCTTCACTACAAAACTGATCTGACATCTGTGCGGAGGTTTAAATCATATGTTCACATATTTACTGAGTGATGCTGTGGACACTTGAGAGTATCGGCGGAGAGTAAACCGCACCGAAGAAGAAGGGGGAATTATTGGAGAGACAGAGAGGTGCGCTTACCAAATTGTCCAACTCTGGATTTGATGAAAATAAAGGTTTTTCTGCTCGGACCTAAAATAATACACCAAATGTCAAAGTTAGTTTGGCATGAAATGTGGGGAATGTGCGTCTATTTTCATCCTGGATGACACAACTTCAAATAATACAACTTGTGCGTTAAGTGGCAATTCTACAGTGAACAGTGTTATGTTTTAACCATATCAAGAGCAACTTTTTTTTTTTTTAATTGCAAAGTAAAAGTATGAAGCAAGCAGAAAACTATGCGCCATGACGAAGCCACAACATCCACAATATTTTCTTTTCTTTTTCTTTTTTTTTTTTTTTTGAAATTGCAAAATTGACCTGTTTGGCAAAGACTGCAATGTCCTCATTGAAGGAGTCAGAGGAGCAGACATCGCCGCCTGCTACGCCGGGCTCCCTCGGAGTACACGTCGCCAACTCGCACTTCTCAAAAACCAGTGCGAGCAGTGGGAATAAAGGGTGACTGCAAGAGGGGAAACACAGCCTGAGTACAAGCAGCACACCGGCTCCACAATGCCCACTGCAAAAAATGTCCAATCAACCTGTATATCTGTCGGCACCCTGCTCCTAAAAGGATTCTTTTCTCACTGCAATTAAAAACTAGAACACACCAACATGAAATAATTCGACTTTCCCTGACGCGGTGCAGCTTTTACTCACGTCTGTTTTAGCAACTTGCAGCATATTAAATTAAGGCAGACAAAAACTAAAACTGTATATTTTTGCGTCAAGACCTTTCTTTGTAGCAGCTGTTTTGACTTTACAAGTGCGACAGCTGGAATATTTTACGCACTGATCGGGAAGTTTTGGCGTTTCAAGCCATGATGTGATATTAATCGATTTGCTGAGACTGACATTTCTTACAGTGCAAACACAAAAACCGAGTAAGAAGTCAACAAAACTCGAGCAAAAAACAAAAGTGACACGGTGGATAGATGTCACTGGGATTTTAGAAATTATACAGATTGCGAAAAAAAGTTGAAATTAAATATTTTGCAGAGTTACACTCCAGACTGAGGCACCGAGGACTTTTATTTTCCTTCTTTAATAGGCCTATTGCTTTAACTGTAAATCAGAGGAGGGTGAATAAGTAAACTCTCAACATCATGAGACAATTATTAAAATAATTCTAAAAAGTGGAGCAGAATTTTAGAAAAACGTCTGTTTCTATTCCAAGCGTTAACTTCATAAAACTGGCATGAAGTTCTTCATTTCTATCATTTTGATTTGTGTCGGTATAAAAACGAGGGCAAACTCTGCACTCCATATGAAAACGTGAGTAAAAGAGATGAGATGGATTTACTCTGCTCCACATCCCAGATTATATGTGTGGATTATGGCACTTTCTCTGTGCGTATTAGTGCGCAATATGCGTAATTATATTTTTAGTTTTGCACTCACCAGTGAGAACGGACGTTTTCTTTCATTATTGGGAAATAATATTATAAAAGTACAATAATAAAGACACACGGTGCGTTTTAACGCGCTCTGCCTGTACATACATACACGAGTGTGTGTTAGAGCAATTTTTTTGCAAAACATTTCAGAAGTTTTTGCAGGCAAGAAGGAGAGCGTTTAAATGGGTCAAGACTGTTTTTAAGATAGACTAATAATTGTGGGAAGTAGACTAGGACGAACCTGACAAAACGGAAGAACTATTCTGGTGTTGAAAATGTAATTTTTTATTATTGTGCTTCCTTGCAGTCTGTATCTTTCAAGGCTGAGCTGGTAGCAGCGAGCTTCCATATTATTTTATAGCTTGTATTTCAGGCTCAAGGCTTTTACTTTTACTTACTGGAGGCTTGACGATGCCTCGTACAATGAGTGTAAAATTACACATCAACAAAACTCCCCTAACCAACAATAGAGCTCCAAAGTGCGGTCAAACCTGCACAAAACACTATTTAAATTTAGTGGTGAGAGAGAAACTCCAACAAAACACACTTTAGAGAAAAGCTGAAAACTTGGGGAAAAATTCTAAAACTATCTGAGCGCGTGTTTGCTTCATGCAAAACCTTACCCATAAATTTGATCTTTATCCCTCTTTAAAACGTCGTTGACAGCAGAGCCCATGCTGGTGGGCATAACGTTTGGATGAGGAGCGTGGGCTCCGTAGTGCTGGCTGGCGTGCAGCGGCGGTCCGTGGTTCAGGTGGTGGACCTGGGGAAGCGGCCGGGGAGCATGCGGGTCCCCGTACATCGACGCCGGGACTCCGTCCATCCCACCGTAATGGGCCAGCTCATCGTACTGGGAATAAGATTAAAGCAAAAGTCAGCGGAATTCCCGGTTACTTTTTTAAAAAACAAATGTGAAAACTACAAAAAAGGCATGCCGTCTCATTCTGAACACACGCAAAGGAGAAACTAATAAGCTGTTGCTGCTGCGAAAATACGTCGCAGCCGGTGCAGAAAAGTGTCATATATTAGATCTGCTACACGGTTTGTCATTACCAAAAACATTATAAGTTGGCTGCTCCCCGAGAGAAGAGTTTGTTGGGCGAAAAGAGCGAATTAGTTTGGAGTCTCCTGTGAAACTGCTCCACGACTGTCGTGGAGGCTTGTCGGTAAAAAGCAGAGGCTGTCACTTCGCTTGAAGAGTGAGAGCGCTGCAAAAATGTCAAATATAGCGGCTTTGATAGGAATACTTTGTAAATTTGCCACCACCCGACAAGAGGTTAGCGATACGAGGGCCTCCCTACAGTGGATTTGAACAGGTAAGAGTAGGAGATTTAAAACCTACCCTTTGCGCCATCAGGCTGCGCTCCAATAAACTCCTGAATCTGTCGTATATTTAATATCCCAGTCCCGGTTAGAAAGTGATTTAGTGGCAAGATTCCTGTTTCAACCAACTTTGCGAATTCTCCTATTCGCCAGTGTGGTTCAGTTGAAATCGTAGCATCAGGGAGTTTTGCAATTTTTCTTGTTTTCCCTCTTTCCTCGGAAAAAAAAGAAAAAAATGCGCCAAAGTGAAGGTTACAATCGGCCCATCAACAACCTGCATGTAACTAAACTGTCGTGTCTCATGGCTTTTTGCCACTCCAGCTGTCAATCAAAGCCAGAGGTTGTCAAGGTAATGAATGAATGACGGTTGGTGATGATGTTCAAGAGAAGGACGAATCTTTTTAGTCCGTTTTCATCCCGCAAGTCCGCGTCTCCTTTAATGCCTCCAGATCGCTATCTTGTTTTATTATCACTGTAAAAAAAAAAAAAAAAAAGGGAAAAAAAGCAGTAGAAATTAAGAGATTGCGATTCAGATCTTTCCTTTCTTTCCCCCGTAGGTATTTCGTCTATCTGGCGAGACTGAGATGAGTGAGTGTCAGCGAGTGTTGGCAGGTTGGCTGCTAGCTTGCTTATAGAAACAGAGTCAGTTCGCAGCGCTGAGCGGTGGGCGAATGAAATGACGGATCCCGGAAGTAGTGGTGGCCATAGCCAGTCCTACAGCAGCTCCAGAAAAGAGAGAGGAGAGACCAAATCTTGTGATATGCAGAGTATATGCGAGGCACAGGGACGGCTTCAACTCCACACTGGGGGTAAAAAGCCTAAGCAACACAGCTCCAACTCCCACCCAATTCCTTTTCGCCGAGCAGAGTCCTAAAGAAAAAAAGAAGAGCAGAAAAGGTTGAATGAGCGAGGTTTTACCGGAGCGGACACTTCGGCTGCAACCGCTCCGAGTTGAATTAAACACAGACTGCACTGAACTAAACTGCATGGATTATGATTTTAGAACAAAAAGTTTATTTTAACGCACAATTACGCATTACGCATCCAAACTTTTACGCACGGAAAAATGTAGCGATATATGTGTGGATGTTTTAACTTGCATGTATCCTGACAGTGCGTGATAGAAAAACAAGAGATTATAAGTCATCTTCCGCAAAAATTAACAAGACATCTTATGAATGCTGAGTTTAATATGTGAGCATGACGCTTACTTGTTATCTGTTTGTGGTTATAAGCCGGTGTGCATACTTAATATCTCAGTAATACCTTCTAATCTCACCGCTGATTATTGCTCTGGTCTTTTTAGCAAATTAAACGGCACGCAGCACCCCTCTAAGCCCAGAATGAACTTTTCCAAGGGGAAAAAAAGCTTTTGTGGAGAAAGTAATTTTGTATGTTTCTTTCGGCCAATCCCCTCTCTTGATAGAAACCCGTACCTTACCTCAGAGTAGTCAATTATCAAAGCTCCCCAAGATCATCAATCATGTGAGGAGATTGAAGTTTAGAGGAGGAGCAACGCTCCGGCCATCGATTGCAGTGAAGCCCTTTTTGGAGCCTGAGCATTTTTACGCACAAAACAGAAGCAGGCCATCTATCCCTTTTAATATTTAGCTCCATCAGTGCTAATATGGCATCATGGCTGTATTGATAGGTGCTCACATAAAGGCTCCATTTATAGCTCCGTGACATTTTTGATGGTGGAAATTAATTATTCACAGGTTAGGATTAAGGTAGACACACGCTCAGGGAGATGGGCTGTGGCTACCGTTGGAGGGTCAATAAACTCTCCCAACAAACAAAATACTAAGCAGAGTTGCTAAGGGGGTCGATTACAGAAACAGCAGAGGTTTTTTTTTGTTGTTGTTGTTTTTAACGGGGGGAGAAAAAGATTTAATAAATGAAACCGTGACAACAGTTATGTTTGTTGGCATAAAGGGGGGTGGGAAGTGTAGGACTGCAGGGTTTGACAAACGGCTGTGTGGACATTTCAACGTGCAATACCCCGGGAAGGAGCTGCAGAGCGGTGCGCAGAGAGCCAAGGCATTCACCGTCTCCAAGTCTCTCTTACACTCTGTAAACACAACCAGCCCGGCAGACTCTGCTATTGAAGACTGATATTTTCATAAGCTAAATACTGTCGTTCTCATTGATTTGTGTACTAACGCTTGACTTTTTTTTTTTTCATCCTCCTCCTTTTGGACAACCATGGTAAGTAGCATAAACCTTATACTGTATCTACCGCTTTTGTTGTGAACGCGCGTCCTTTCACTGCGCAGTAAGGGGGAAAGTTTTGAGGCTGGTCTATAATAATAAAAAAAAATATTTTCATAAGCTTTGTTAATCTTCCGTAAAAGCGCACAAGAAAGTCTCCTAAAAAATCCGCACGATCGAGCGATTTTTTTAATTTTATATGCTTCTAGATCTTAACGATTATACTGATATTTTTTCAAGATTTTATGGTGGAAATATGTGATTTGCCCCGGAGGAGAGTGATGTAAACACCAGAAGAGCGTGTGAAAATAGGAGAGGCTAATTATGCGTGTCCAATGTACGGCTCCACAGAAACACATCCTTCCCTATAAAACTTCCAGCAACGACTCCTAACGACGTGGATTTTTTTTTCTTCTTCTTCTTTTGTGAACTATTTATTTGAGTAATTAATGGAAGCTATAAACACGAGGCTTCATGAGTGACAATATTTAGGTTAAATCCGCCTTTTTTTATGTGACATTACACAAGTCGGTGTTTAATTTTCTAATTTCATTTTAATCATCACTCACTCAATAGTTAATTAAAATTAATTTTCCTCATAAACAAGACATGTGCCAACTTAAACTCCCCCTGCGTACAACCTGGCCGCGTTTACAAGGCAGACAATTCCAGGAGGACAACTATCACAGATGATTTTTTTTCAAGTAGTTTTATATTTCTTCACGTAGCGGCTCTCTTCAGGTGCAGATCCACAAGTCTTGCGCGTATGAAAAAAAAAAAGAAAATCAGTAGATGGCATTAACAGGCGGTAAAATTTCATCTGGTGGTGTCAAATTGAGGTCAGTTTAGGGTTAAAGCTCTCGGTGTCCGTGCGGGACATGGCCAGCTGCGTTTGGATTCATTAGGGGAGGGAGAGAGGATCCATTTCAAGGAAAACACTACTGGGACAGTCACCAGGCTTAAAGATCCACAGCATGTCACATCCTAAAGGTGCACCAGGACCGCCTGCATGAGCAACCAGCAACTGAACTTCCACTCCTCTGTTTACTCTTTGCAGGACTTACAATCCCCTTCTCCTCTCTCCCCCATCTCTGCCTCTCTCTCTCTCTGTTGCCCTGCAGGGCTCGCTTGTTCACACACAAGCCTGTTGCTAAATATGGAGAGAAATGCATTGTTGATTTAATTCCCTCAAAAAGATCACTGATATGAAACGAGCTTCAAATCCTCTTAGTGACCTTAAACACTCCTGGAGAAACAATTGGCGCTCAACCGGAGGAACAAATAAAATCGCCCTAATCTTGTTTGTAACTTTGTTCTTCTTTGGCCCTCTTCAGTATTTGAGATTATGTAAATTAGCAAAGCTAATGTATAGAGAGGCTGAGATAAGACTGGATCATAGACTGACTGCAGAGGAGAGGCAATGGAAGTAACAAAAAAAAAAAAAGCAGCAACCTTGCAGCTTGTTCACGGTTCTCTTGTTTTTGCAGCAATTCTAAAATAAAATAAAAATGCAGGTGTTGGTGCCTAATTTCACTTAAACACATTTTACGCGCAGCAGAAGTAATGCAGCTAAAGAGGGCGACTCATTTATTCCCATCTAGCAGCTCCACAAATTAGTTTCCTCATTTGTTCACACATTTCATTTGTTTATTTATTTACTTTTAGAATATTTTTGTAGGAATTTGTTTGGGAGAATTTGGCTCCTCGGTGTTTGTCTCTTGTAGAAAACATTACCTCAGTCCCCTGCATCTGAACTCTTTTTGACCCCGGAGTGAAATGTGACTATAGGGTTTCAGAAAGTGGAGTGAGCAACTCAAATACTTGTAAAAGTTTCGCGACTAACTGTAAATTCTTCAGCTCCAAAGCCTCATTTTCCCCTCCACCGATTCTCAGAGTCTGGTGTCAGAGGGTTAGTAAAGGGAGGAGGGAGACAGAGAGAGAGAGAGGGAGAGAGGAGGCCAACAGAAAATGTAACTGTGGCTTTTTTCCTCCCGCTAATACACTCGTTGGGGAATATGCAGCCCTCTAGCGACACCTGGCGGCCGCAGCAGAAGCCGAGTTGTCGAGAGCTTTGCCAGAAATAAAGAAAAGGCCTGTAAAAAATACACTAAAGCTAAATGCACACGAAATATATCGTCGAATGGCAACAAAAACGCGCTCTAAAATTAAAATTAAAGCCACTGCAATCCAATAGTTTCATTTGTGCGAGCCCAGAAACAAAACTCTAAAAATGGATTTTATTCTAAAAATGCAAATTTTGTTTAAGTGCTTCTCTCTAATTAGTTTCTTATAATTTTTTATTTATTTGCTGGCGGTGCTTGGACCATAAATTCGCTTGAACTGTTTACACCCTTCACAACTGATGTTGCTACAAGACTGAGAGTGTCTCACACAAACTAGAAAAACGTGGCCTTTATTAGTCGTGGGTTGTTTTTAATTTGAGATTAAACGATGTATTTTGAATTCACGAATTTATGTGATTTAAAAAAATATATTTATTACGAATATAAATCGGTATGCAAATAAATCAGAAATCATTTGTATTAAAACAGCAGCTTGATATCGAATCAAAAACTTACGAGTGTTAATATTATTAGTTCAATATTGATGTAATGGTAAAGATTTTTATAGTCTATTAGAATCATTATTAAATGCGGAAATAAACCAAATGTAACCATTTGGAGTTTTTTTCACCACAAACGAAGTTTAAAATAATGAAACATTACATTGATTAAATTTATGATTTTAAAAAACTGCGCGTAAAAGTGATGAACGTTATTAAAATAAAATATGAATGCGTGAAAACAGAATTTTAAATTGCTGCATATATCGATAAAATTATTTCCAATATAAAACTAAAGGCTGCTGCAATTTTCCACAAACAAATTCCAACACTAGATGCATTTTTTTTCGTGCGTAAAAATACCCAAAAGCTTGTAGTGGGTGCTGTTAAACTTTCCTCCGTGGCTCTCCGCGGAGTCTCAGCTCTGCTCGGCTGTGACACAGTTTGAGGTCACCGCCGAGATTACAGCCCGTCGTTAACGCCTGCTCAGATACACCAAATGCTGATTTAATGAGCTTGCATTGGGTGTTTGTCCCAGAATACCTGGTGTGCATGCGTTAGGAACGCCACAGACTATAATCCCTGTGTTTCCCCCCTTAACACGTGGCTTTAGGGACAGCCTAAAGCACTGCGCGCATTTGAGTATGGTTTCTTTTTTTTTTTCTTCTTCTTCTTTTTTATTCCTGTTAGATTGAACAGGTCGAAGCCTATAAG